TAAAATACCCTTATTAAATGCATGTCTACCTTGGGTTACATAATAAAGAGTGCCTTTTATCCAGGTACCCTTCACAAATTAGTTTGTAATTTCACCAACTTCTCTTGGGTCTGGTAAGTCACCAACTACTTCTTCACAGACACACCTGGGTGAAGGAGGTGATGGCTGCCAGAAAAATTTGTCCCGTAGTTTGAGGGTGGGAGCTTGTAGCCCCACCCTCTAACCTGGAGATTGAGTCAATGACCAATGGATGGGAGTTTCATCTGTCAGTTAAACCCCCTAAAGGAGAGGTGATGATCACAGCAAGGCTTTTACCTTGCTCTGTACATCTCGTCCTTTACAATAAAGCAGCAAACACAATGAATGCTTCTTTGAGCTGTGGGAGACACTCTAGCAAATTACTGAACATTTCTTCTCTTTTGATAGCTATTGTTTCTCTGGCTGATTTAAGTCTGGTTACTAGTGCCTCAGGGATGGGAGAATCCAGATAGTGACTCTCTGGGGAGCTTCTGCCCCCTGCATTGCTCCCTGGGCTGGAAGGTCCACTATGCTTTCCTTCCTGCCTAATCCAAACCGGTTCTCTGTATCACTTAATGTGGTACCCAAGGAAGAGGAGGAACTGAACACTGTCTGAGTGAATGAAGGTTTAACTGGTCTGCAATTCTTCATAAACAAAAACTGTTTCACAAGTCAGAGCCGAAGTGGTCCTATTGCATCTTGTTCTGTTTTTCACTGGAGGAAAAACATCTGTTCCCCAACCCATTTAAACGGCATGTTATATACACTGAGACTGTAATTAAGTCACCCGCAGCCTTCTCCTCTTCTGGCCAACCACCATCATTTCCCTGATTCCTTCCGACTAAGCCTGAGTTTCCAACTCTTTAATCATTTCTGCTCTCTTCTAGATCCAAATGTCCCACTTACTTTTAAACTGTGGAGACTCAAATGGAAATCTATTGTAATGATACTGTAAAAGTTTGGCAAATTTCAGAGGAAACCATCTGTTTGGTCCTGTCTCATTATCTTCTGCTGCCTTTTCATTAAAGGATTCTCAGGAAAAGCTGTAAAATTTATTTTTAAAATTAATTCAACCATTTCTTTTCTGGTCTAGATTTTTGTATTTATGCACATACAATTTCTACACAAAAAAGGGTTCATAAATGGAAAGATTACAAACTCACAAATGTAAGTTTCTATAAAATATTTTGAATATGATTTTAGAGTCTGGATGCAGAATGACTGCTCATTTAGCATTTTTAATGCACATTTTTTTACCATATTTAAGCTATTTTCTAACTTAAAAATATTTGTGTTGTCTTTATTTGAACTTCTCCTATGCCTTTGGTATAGATCATTGAATAAGGATGAAAGTAATGGTTTTACACAACGCTTCCTGCATGCAAGGGAAGCGTTTCACATGTGTCATCTTATATTATCTTCATAACAGCCCAGTGAGCCCAGTATGCTAAGTACCAGTGGCATCCCCATTGTTTCAAATGAAGAAAATGAAGCAAAGAGAAGCTAAAAATTCAGAAATCCAGTAAATGAAAGTCACACTTGGGATTCGAACTGCACTAGCCTCATTATCTGTGTTTTTCTAGTGACATGCTCCCATATATTTACAAATATTGAGGCACACTGGCTGCTGTATAGCTTTATTCTTTTTGGTTACCCTTAATGTAGTTTTGTGTCTAAAGTTCATTTTTTTCAGTAAAGTTTGAGTGTCCTTTACTCAAGATGTTTGGAACACGAAATGTTGCAGATTTTCTTTTCTGGTTTTCATTTTTTTGAGGGGAACATATAGATATATAGATAGATAGATAGAAGACAGAGAGACAGAGAAACAGAGAGACAAAGAAAAAGACAGAGACAGAGAAAGATATATATATAGAAGAGAGAGAGAGAGAGAGAGAGAGAGAGAGAGAGAGAGAGAGAAGCACAGAGGAGAGAGCAGAGAGGGAGAAGGGAGAGAGGGAAAGAGAGGGAGAGGCAGAGGCAGAGGGAGATATATTAGGGAAGGGACTAAGCCTACACACAAAAATTATTTGTATTTCACGTATACCTTATACACATAGCCTGAAAATAGTTTTTATACTATGTTTTTGACAATTTTGTACGTGAAACAAAATTTCATAATGTGGAACTTCCTACTTGCAGTATGATGTCCATGATCAGGGTTTTGATTTTTGGAGCATTTTGGATTTTTGGCTTAGGGATCATCGACCTGTACAATAATTATAGCTCAGAGCTGATGCTGGTTTGATTACAGAACTGACTCATGATTATTTTCAGCTGGTAGACTTTCATTGCTTTTTTTACATTAAAACAGTTTTATTTAGTTTTTGCTCTGAGGTATGAACCATACAATTGATAAATATTGGTGAATTTAACTTCCTTATGGTCAAATATTGAGCTTGTCTTGCTGCCATGTATTACAAAGGTAACCTCTAGGAGCCCTGTACATTTGTCCCAGGTAGCTGTGATGTACATCTTGGGCCACCCACAAATACAGAGGTGCATTTGTTCTTCTCTCCCTAAATGTAATTCCTTTCAATCAGCTTTGCAGACCATGTGGCCCTGTTGTTACTGTGGAAGCCTTCCTATGGGCTTGCAGAAACTCTACTCCTTTGCAGAGAACACGGGAGACCTTTCCAAGAACACCCTTGGGAGTGTTTAATTGGTAGTGCTGAGTTGATGCTCTGGTAAACTAAATTCAACTGGAAGTGTTATTTAAATTTTTACTTACACTTTAGCAAGGCAATTATTTTTTCTAAAGAAAAATATGCTATTCTAGTTTATTTTATTTGAATTAATAAATTTGAAATAATATCAAGTGCTTAAAAAACTCAAACCCTCAAGTGCTGTTTATAATCATTTAAGAGGAAGGTTTGCGAAAACACGGAAGTCTCTCTCCAAATGTGCCTTTGTGCTTCCTGTCTGTACCCAGGACAGGAAACAGTCCCTACACACAAGCATTTTAGGAAATTTCTTCTTCACCCAGTTTCTACCATTAAAAAAAAAAGTTCTCTAGAACAAAGATGTTTCTTTTAAAATATTGTATATATATATATATATATATATATATATATATATATATGAAGAAATATTCAAGCATCAAATATCTCCTGGTATGCCGTAATTTTAAGAGATTCACAACAAAACATTAATATTTTCCTTTCAGGAAATTGAACACACTGTTAGGAGATGACATGGGCTTTTCATTCCATTTCATATTTCCTCAGTTTTTTGGTTAAAATCTTGATGTGTATTTCTTTACAAATAGTTATATGAGCAGTGAGGTCATTTTTCTTTTTATTATGTTAGAGAACAAACTTTTTTATATTAAAGAGAAAAATAAAAATAGCATAAAACAGAGTTTCAAAACAGTGTAGCAAGAGTTATAATAATGAGTACACTGTGTGCTGTGTTCATCTTGACTTGGTCTTCATAGCGTTATTGAGAATAACAGATATAGGCATGATATCTGTCCAAACAATATTAGCAAAAATCTTATTTTCAATGAACTAAGAGAGGGTAATTTGTTTTCATAAAATTTTCCAGGTTAAACAGAAATAGTCTTTAAAAATGCAAATTGCTTCTTTAACCATATCATTAAAGCTTAAATAATCAATGTATTTCAACAGTTGTCTGACTTTGAAAGGAAAAGTGCCTATTTTTAAATGGTAGCACTCCATGGCTGTAGCTTTGTTTTAAAATAAGGAAAAGAACTTAAATGAAGTTAAATAATTTATGTTTACACAGCTAATTAATGACTAAAGCACCAATTAGTACCCAGGTCTCTTAACTCCAGCCAGCACTTTTTGCAAGAAATTGTGTCTTCCCTACATGTTAATTATTTGTATTTTCAAAGTAATGTTTTAACTTGTGAATGTAAAAATTCAAATATATGCCACTGGTTTAATGGTACCATAAATCTAAGTATTATAATATGGGTGAAGGAGAAATATAGTGATTTCTATGTCAAATGATTTCAGCTAAGTGCTGGAAATAACACTCAGTTCAAAATAAAATGGTGCTCAGTTGGAGAAAACCTCATTTTTGAGGAATAAAGTACTCTAGATAAAAAATAAGGATCTAACCTAAAGATTTATAAGCTGCCATTCTTTGGGGTTGTAATGAGAACTTCTATTTATAGCTCATAAAAACACTTCAATTGCAAATATCTTCCAGTTTTTTAAAAGGCTTGTAGAGATACACGTGTTCCTATAAAAGCCTGATATGCAGTGTATGTTTCATTCCAGGATTTTGCAGTTATAAAAAAAAACTAATAATAGGCTAGAAAAAAGTAAGATGAATAAAATTACCAGCATTATTGCTGAAACCTAATTTAAAGGTAGGCCATATTAAAAATACACCTCAGTAGAGAAGTATGAAATTGTGGCTTTTTAAAAATTAGAATCAATATTGTTTCTAAAGAGAGGCTATTAATACTATTTATAAAAAAGCTTAGCTCAGCTCTTATAATTAGTGAACAGAGATCCAGGATCCTTATTGTGTCCTTTCTTTGTCTGTGGCTTGTGGAAACATGTGTACACACACACACACACACACACACACAGACAGACAGACACACACACAGGCACACACACAGCTCTGTGGATGGTTCTTCTCCATACAGAAGAGTTACCTAGCACAGAGCAGGCATTCAACAGTCAATAAATCAGTAATAATTGCAGCTTTCCCATCTCTACTCCAAACCCTTAATTTTGAAAAGTTGTAAGAAATTACTCCTATTCTTTCCTGTTCTATTTTTGAACTGGAAATACATGAACGAAATGAGCTAGCTACCTATTTATAGATGTCTGGAAGTTGAATTTTTGTGATGAAATAAATTCTCATTTTATCATTTTTTTTTTCCTGGAGATGATTGTCATTGTTAGATTTGCATTATTCTCACTTACTATGCCATTATGGGATGATAAATTATAAATTTATGTTTTTATTTTTTCATATGAAAATTTAACTGGTCTACACAACAGGCGGGGACAGGGATGACGAGTTTGAAGAAGAGCCTGGACAAGGAGGGGCCGGTGCGGAATCCATGGACTGTGGAAAGTCACTGCGCCCAGCAAGGAGGCCCGCAGGGAAGACGGGACTTGTACACAAGGCCAGCCTTCTCCCCAGGTAAAGGAAAACACACAAGTGACGACCCTGACAAGATAACAACCAAGTCGGAGCACTTTAACAAAACTGAGTGTGCCTACCACACGATTTAAGCAGAAAGTCTTTGAGCAAGACTTAAGCATATGGAAAATATTTTTAAAAGTGGGTACATATACTGGGACAGAAAGAATTTCTAGGGAAGCTAAGGATAGTTCTAGATTTCTTGTCATGTCTTGGGACTGTTAGGAACCAAAGGGAGTTTTCACTTTAAAAGAAAATGAAAGAGACAGACCTCATTAAAAGAATAATGTTAAATTAATTTTAGCTGCAAAATAGCATTGCTGTCATTTAAAGTAAAGGCAGAGCTGCCAGCATTGCTGCCACAGGTTCAGTTCATTACAGCTAGTGATGGACCCTGAGGACATGAGAGAGAGAAGACCTAAGTACCCACAGAGCATGTCCGGGAGTGATTAAAATTCACTGGTTCACGAGTCCTTCCAAACACTTTCTGGTCCATTCATTGAAACTATGGAAAAATTGGGAACTCACATTTCTAACTCTACAATGTGGAAAGCTTAAATTATAAAAAGATGGAAATGAAGGAAATGTTGAAAACAAGAAACACCAATTTAGTAATAGCTAATCTGAATTTATTGGTATTTTTTAATTTAAGAAAATGCAGAGGAGATAAAAGGATCAGAATTGTAATGAAGTTCCTATCATAATGTATCAATGGAAGGGAAAAAGGGGGCTTTCATAAAGCTTGTACAAATGAAGGGCAACACCATCATCCAGACTCTATTTATATCTTATTATAATAAATATTTGAGTTGCTCTTTACATAATGCATATGCTAATAAGAAGTCCTTAAAAAGTCAGTTGACCTCCTTGAACATGCCAATATCAAATGAATTGGAAACTATCTTTTAAACATTAGAATTGCTACATTTGGTGAATGCTTTCCATGATCCTAGCATTGTTTAAGGCAATTTACACTCAATTTCATTGAACTTTTCTAGGAGCTTCATGAAGAACTACTGCTTTCATACAGTAGCAGGGTAAAATGAGAGAGGGTTAGTAACTCATCCAAGGACACATTGACAGTAAATAGAGGAGCCATGGCTTAAATCTAAGTATGGATCTCTCTGATACAGAGCACATGGTCTTTCTGTTATGCCACACTCTGACATCTCCATCTGAATTAAGAAGATTTCATAGTTTAAGGAGGAAGAGAGAGTATTCTGAGGCATGGAAACCAAAGGCAGTGCTACTGGGGGCAGACAGCCAGAGGAGGAGAGGTAAGGTGGTGAGGCAGAAAATCAGGTGTTCAATGAATGATGATGTTGATGGGAAACAGGAAGGCATGCTTAGGAGAAGAAATGACAGGATAAGTAGGATTCTCCCTTGAGTGAAGTTCACAGAGGCCTGCGTGGATCCTTCCATGACTATGAAATAAAAAGAACCATATCCAGATGGTCATGATAGAGGACTCTTGTAGAAATGGAGGAAGGATTAAGACACACGGGTGGAGACATGGTCACTGACACTGCAGAGATAATGCATCCTTATTTTGATTTTTAGCTCATTATGAAAGATAGAAAAGTCATTTAAAGATTTATGATTTCAGAGGTTTGGGATACAATTACCTGTTTTGTCATTTTCTTCTGTTAATATTTAAAGCTGTCAGTGAGTGAGGGTGCTTGCCAGGACTGGTGTAGGGAGAGGCAGTGATGGTTCCTTATCTTTTCTAATGCATACTGAAGATCATGGTAGACCAGATATCAACATTACAATCTGAGCTTTTAGTATCATCTTCCTTTATTCTCATGATACACCAAAAGGAATTCAGAGAACTCAGGATGATGCTGGATATTCTAGGGGAAAAAAGATAATATACAAAGTAAGAGAAAATCTTAGGTACTTAGAAATTTTGATTAGTTATTCTTTTTTTAAATTTTTAAAATTTTTTAAAGAAGATAAAACAATACAACCAATCACAACAAACCAGTGTAAGAGATATATGACCTCAAAACATTACAAAATTAACAATAGTTACCATAGTGCCTTTAGATGGTTTCAAAATAGCTGCAGATACCTTCGGACATAGTAAAAACCAAACAGAACAGAATAGAATAGAAACAATACAAACAAAACAATGAATGCAATAAAGCATTTCAAACACGCTAATAGTAAACCCAAAATTGCTATCATAATATGTCTTGCTATCCTTGAAATAGCTTCTCCTGCCATCAGATTTAACATAATCAAACAAAACAAAAGAGGATAAAACCCAACCCAACAAAACAAATGGAAACAATATACGGTCTCGAAACAAGAACATAGGGAGTCAACAATGGATGCAACCCTCAGAAGGAGATCCCCTCTAGATGCCACACCATAGTGGCACCATATATCAGTACATATACTGATATATGAATCCATGATCAGACCACTGGCCCTAGACCTGCAGTGTTAGTGCAACACCAGAGCACCACAGGGGCATCCAATTGCATTTCACCTGGATAGCTATCATCACAGCCTGTGTTTCTCTGGATAAGCTGGTGGCTTGGAGGGAAGGTTGGTACTTCTTGCTTACCAGCTCATATGCCAGAAGGGGCTGGGCACTGGCTGTTCCCAGTCCTGCGGCGGCCTGCACATGGCGCGTGTTTACAGACTGGGTTTGTTTGCTGGTGCGGCCATTGTTTTCTCTTGATCAGAGCTATTCTTAAGTGGAAAGATTCTATCATGTAGTAGAGCTGTAGAAAGAAGTGGCCTAACATTGAACAGTAGATAATAATAAATGGAAAACCAAAGAAAAGCTATATTAAAACAAAAACAAAAACAAAAGCAACACCTATCTTAATGTGACTGAACAATGTATAAACTGTTTTAACACAGTTATAACTAAAAAACTAGCTAAGTTTCTTCAATTCACATTTCAAATCATTTTAGGATGAAATGTTTTTGGTCTCTCTCCCTAATGTATGGGTAGAAAATTCTATTTCTAAATAGATATATTTTTACTGTTTCTTATTAATGTAAAAATATAACACATGTTCTCTTTTCCAGAAGTTTAAAAAAATAAAAATTCTTGAAATGAAATTTGCAAACCACAGAACAATCTAAAGAAAAAGGAAACAATGTCATCACCCAAAGACAACAGACTTGGGTATTTCCTCCAGGGCTCTTTGCATGTCTCTGGGAAGGTGACAGGCTTCCATAGCACTCTTTCCAACAGCCAAAATCAACATATGTACTGTTCCTGTTGCTCCCTGGTACTCATGCTGCTAAGAAAATAGGAAATTCATGATCATGGCTGTGTAACCTTAAGTCTGCACTTATCCTAAAGACAAAAGAAATGATTCTATCCACTCTGCAAAGTGATAACCCCATGGCTAAAAAATCAGACAAAAGAACAAGATTCTTACATTATAGATAGCACATAAAATAACTTCAATTTTCCAATTTGATCTTTGTGGCTTAGCATATTCAAAGTTCATAAATGGCTTCCTGATGATCCAGCAGAAAACTCATCCATATTTAGGCCTGGGTCTCAGATTCTTGGTTTCATTATTGCTCTGGGGAAGATGCTCCACTAGACACTTTTCATACTTAAATCTAAAGATAGTCATGGATTTGGGCATGCGTCTCCTGTGTTAGACAGATTCTGAAGTAATTTCTCTTCTAAATCCTTTCTTAACTCAAACATTAAAGCTGCAAAGCCTCATTTTCAAAAATTATTTAGGAAGTATTGGTTTTACTGTTCCTTTTTTCAACATTATTATTATTTACCCCTCTTGGATTTGTGTTTCATTTACTGGAGTATGCTCACAAGTACTATCTTTTCAAATCTGAAAAATTTGAGGTTGGCTAGTTTTTGTGCAATACCTATTAACAGTGTCTCAGAACTGGTGTTTTATGAAATATATATATGGGGGAACAATGGCAGAAGTTTAATAAATTTATGTTGACTAAAAGTATTGAAGTCTCAAACCAAATTTGATTCTGTTATTAAGATCAAACTTCCTGACCAAAGAACCCCTGAGGTCCATTCATTCAAATGGACCTCACACAAAAGATTACTAGGAATGTATATTTATAGTATTCCAGTACATGGTATTTTATTTTTAATCCCCCTATGACATCATATTGTATTGCTGAATTATAGACAAATAAACAGAAGTGGGAAATTTACCCTGCTTTCCTAAGGTATTAAAATAGAAAATTCCTCAAATAAGATAGATTAAATAAAGCTGTGAGTTTGTTAGTATCCCTTTTACTCCATCCTCCCATTAAAGACAAATTAAATCAGAAGTATGTAAGATAAGAAAGTGCGTATCCTCTGCTTATGAACTATTAGACCACTGAGCCCAGTTTACTTCTGTTACCAACTTACAAAAAGTGAGAAAATAAAATCTGAATAAGAGTTAATGCTTAGGAAGAACTCAGGCCAGAACCCTAGGCCAGAGTAGCAACACTATTTGAAATAAGACCTTTAAAATACTAATTTTAAAGCTATAAGTGGTTAATTCTCATTTCTTTCTTCTGAGTTATTTGTACTCAGAATTCAAATTTTCCAAGCTGAAGTGTCTCAGGCATTTGAACAAACATAAAGATAATGTATTCTAGTCTGGAAATACAGAGTTAAAGTTAAATGACAAATCTCTTTTTGGGGACAAGTTAGATCCTGCTGGGTTTGGAGAATGAATATGACAGTCTTCACCTTCATATCCTGGAGGAACTCCATCATGGCCCTGGAATTCCCACTTGGGAACTTGAAACAAGCTTGATTTCATTCTCTGCAATGAACATATGGTGCATGTACAAATAGCTTCTAAGCCTTTTGATGTTCATTAAGAGGAAGGAGTGGGGGTCTGTTTCCTGGAGAAGTATGGGGCACTAGGGAGCATTAAAGAAAGAAACAATGGCAGAGGAAATGGCAGTCTTTTGCACTCATTATGTTTTTGTGAACAATGAATTTCGTAATTTTGGGGACTTTGAATGGAAATGTTGCAGGTTCCAGTCCTGTTTCTACCGCTGTCTTGGGGGAACATGCATAGTACCTCTACACTTAGATGCTCATTTGAAAACAACAAGTCAACATCCTACTTACTTCCCTTAGTCTTCTTATGAAGATAATAAAATTTCAGTGATTACATTCACTGGAAAAAAGTCTTGTGGAATAGCTTGAAAACTTATTAAAAGGCATGACTATCGTCATTTTTTCTGTCTTCCAATTTTGCACATTTATTTTGCTTTCTTAAAGATAGAGAATAATAGAAAAATGTAAAGAAGAAAATGATAGCCCTTAATAATTACATCAACTATAAATATATAACTTTTAACGCATATCCTTACAATCATATCAATATGTATATATGGTTTTGTCTCTGAAGTAAAATTTAAACGAGTGATTTTTGTTTATTAAACAGAGTTATTCTAATAGATGACTAGTGTGATTTTACTTTTAATAAAAACTTTCTTTTAGGGGCTGGGGATTTAACTCAGCAGCATAAGGGCCTGTCTAGCAAGTGTGAGGTCATGAGTTTGATCCCTGGTACCAAAAAACAAAACAAAACAAAACAAAACTTTCTTTTAAGCAAACTATCCTAATTTTCATTTTGTCTGACCTTGAAGTACAGAAATAGTTCAACACATTTTAAATTGCCTTTGTTCAAGTCAGATATTTTGCATGCATTAGCAAATGGGACATTCAAATCTTTGGATTCCAAAGTTTCAGAAAAAGAAATCATAGTACTCTAAACAATGCTTTCTTCATAAATTCACAAATAAACTATTCGAGTTTAGCTCCATTCAGTCAAAACCACACTTAAGTGTATGAACTCAGGACTTTCTGTACTGAATATGGTTGAACAATAAGTAACCTAGTAACTATCATCACCTATAACTTCCAACAAACTGTTAGAAAGAAAAAGTACAAGCCATGGTCCCTACACATAAAAAGAGATGATTCCTCATCCCCAAGAATTTGTAAGAGATTTTAGACAAGCTTGGCAGGAGAATTCTTCCATGTCACTTCTATGGTGACAAGTAATTAAATAATTCAAGAGGAAGAGTTACATACATTTCAAATGTTACTGGCTTTGACTTCCATTCCCCTCATGTTTGTGTTTAGAGCTCTGCATTGTTTCTAATTTCACCTCTACTTCTAAAAGTTATCAATCTTTTTTAAGGACATAAATTAAAGCAAGAAAAACTTTCTTTGACCCTATGTGGTACTCCATAGTGGCATGTACAGTGATCTAAGTTTTACGTCCACCTATTTCCCTCAAATCTCATTCTTCCCATTCTGCCCAGTCCTGGGCATATGGCCTCCCTGTTCAAAGTGACATTTCGCAGCTTCACATGCAAACTCGTGGAGTGTGAGCCTGTGATTAAGTTCTTACCATGAGAGCTCCTGGATATGAGCCTTAAAAAAACTGCTCATCCTAAACTTGCTCTTTAATCCTTGCACCTTGGATTTGCTGAGACCCAACTTTGCCCTTTGAGGTGGGGAAAATGACTGCAAGACGAGCCAGGAGCAAGACAGACAGCAACTGTGGCCCTAAATGGCTTTTAGGAGTGGAACCACCCACTGAGTCTGTGGTGCCCACTCCTATGGTTACACGAAGAAGGAGCATGCCTCCGTCTGATTTGAATATTGTCTCTTCTTTTAAAAAATAGTTTTCACACTTTTTAAAATTATCACTTTATGGGGTTGGGGATTTAGCTCAGCGGCATAAGCACCTGCCTTGCAAGCAGGCAGTCATGAGTTTGATCCTTGGTACCAATAAAAACGAAAAAGACAAAAAAAAAAAGTTATCACTTTATGCTTATAGTGGATACATAATAATTTCATTCATCATGGGGAGTTTGTACCTGTACCTAATAAATGTATTAGAATACATTGAAATACATAGAAATGTCAATTCTTTTTACTTCCCCACGCCTACCCCTTCCCACCCTCCTTCCCTCCATTTCTTGGTCTCCTTTCTGTCTTTTTTTAAAGCATCGTAGTGTGAAATCTTTTTTAGTCCTTTGGTTTCTAACCAGTAGAAAATTACTGATTTCATTTTACAAGTCAGGAAAAGTGAGCTTGGTGGAGGTAAATCATTAATGTTTGGGAATTTTTTCCCAGCCTCCCCGAGCCCCCAGGAGTGGGTATTTCCACTAAATCACAGTGAGCTCCTTTACAGTGCTGCAGAATAAAACTGAGTGTGCAAGCCTGATCACACTGGGCCACTGGAGGTCGCAAGTCAAACTCTCTTTAATCTTCTTGTTTCTGGATCTCAAATGAGCACCTTTTTGCCCGACAGTCCTCCTCAAAAGATTTGCTTTCACAGGACAGCCTGACCTCATGTAAGGAGTTTTAAAAGCACTTTTGAGGTTGCAGGTTACATGGCATTATCCCAGCTTATCTCTCCTGATGGGCAGCAAAGGAAGAAGGTAACTCTTTCCACTTGAATACCTCATCGGATTCTGTCCCCTAGGGAGTGCATTATTCTTTATATAAAGACATCAATCATCTTGTTCTACAAAGTCCAAATAAATATAATTAACACCAAATAGTTCTGCTGATCAAATAACACAGCCATAAAAAGGATAATCTTGACAAAATAAATGACTAGGGCCTCCTTGAAAAGTCAATAAGGCAAAAGCCCCGAGAGTAAATTAAGACGAATGGGAAACCAGCTGGAAGAAATCAAACAGGCAAAGCAGGTGGGTTGGCTTGTGTTTAGAAAGATGAAACACAGCGTGAGGCATTGCACATTTACACAAAAGCAAGATCCATAACCTCTGCAGGCTTTGAACTGAGCTCAATGCATGACTTATTTAAGAAGAGCTAGTAGCTGGGAAATGGTTGAACGAAGAGTGTCAAAGCCAATTCTGAAGATGTTTTCTTATGCTGCCTCTGTTTTTATTTGCTGTGAAGGTTGCCAAATAGCCAGGGGCAGATGGTTCTGCACCACATGTAATTCTAAGTGATGTGAGGGATGCATGATTGACTATGTCCCCGGAGTAATAGAAAAGGAGGAATTCTTGTAAAGATGGCCTCTGTTGTGTTGGATAGCAGTGAAGCTGGCAAGGGGTGAACAGACTTTCAATAAACTATTTCGTATTGGGACAAAAGCAGATACTGAGCCAAACAGCCCTGAATCACTCCAAACACATCTGTGGACATTCAAAAATCTCACAAACTGATCCACAGTGCCACCTTGAATACATGCTCAAACAAGATGATTTTGCATCCAGCAATCTCACCACCTTTTCCCAAAAAGCACATCTTGCTGTTGTGGAAGTAGATTTAGATTCATCTTGGTTGATTCCATTTTTGGCAGGTTCATTATGCCAAAAATAATCAAACTATTATTGGTTCTTTCTGTTTGGACCCCTTGAGAATGCTTCAGAAGTTGTATTCAAAGAGTATATACATAAAAATCAGTGCCAATAACCTCTGCCTAAAAGCCTCAGAATCAGCCTTTCCCCATTTCTCAATCAAAAAAGTTAACAATGGACAAAAGCTATCAAAGACAAAAATTTTCAGAATTACAGAATTCTTACATCCCACTGCAGGATAGGTAGAATTAGACTGGAAAATGAAGCTGAGACTCACAAATGTCAACTCCTTGCAACACAGAAAGCTGCCTAGGTGGAAGAAAGGAGAAAAATCCATAAACAGTTTTCCCCAGACCAACAACACTAGCACTGTACCAGAAAGAAAGGTGGGCAGTGGTCTCTCTTGCACAAGTATAGTGGTCAAAGAGCCTTCGGAGTGAGTCCACCAAACTTTCCTCATATACACTCATTTCCATGAATGTACCTCTCTATCTGCAAATTAATGTCCTCAGAAAAAAACTCATAAAGGAGGAGCTCATAAAGTTGTCAGATTCAGCAAATAAAAATACCTGACATGCTGCTCAGTTAAGTGTGAATTTCACATAAACTAAAAGTAATCATTAATATAATTATGCCCTAAATATTAAATGGGAATAAAATTATTTTTAGCATATGTCCTAAATGCTTATGAAACATACTTACAATAAAAATTATGTTATTTATCTGATAGTCAAACTTAAGAGGGCATCCTGTACTGAATCTGACAAGATGAAGAAAAGAGAATAATAGCATGATTGCATTGTCCCATGGAGATACAGTGCTTTAGGGTGAGGTAAAGACACAGAAGACTTTGCAATGATCTAACAGGATGTTACCATCTGTATTTATTAAAATTGTTCAGAAGATTATAGCCTGGAAAGGATAATATCTCAAATCTTCCTAATATAGGCAGTGCTACTCAATTCTTAAAAACTGAAATTGGTCCAGAAAGGTTATTCATTGGCCTGTGTTTTAGTTGACTTCTAGATAGATTCCAGCCTACAATGAAAATCATACAGAGAAATTCACACACTCGTCAGTTGAAAACAGTGAGTCTAGACAATTTGTTTCATTAATTAAGAATAAACACAGGATGAAATGGGGCAGAACTCAATGATAGAGCACTTGCCTAGCATGTGGGAGGCCATGGGTTCAATCTTTAGCACTGAAAAAAGCCACTAACAAAAAAGAATAAAGGAGGAAAATTAAAAAGAGGAATCTGCATTTTATATTTTGCGACATGGGAAAATGGTTACTATTCAATAAATCCACATAAAAAGGTATTGCTAATGCTTCCTGATATACTCAGTGATATGCAGAAGAATACAAACTTCCTGCAAGAAGACCTAGCAGAGATAAAGATGAACTAAGAAACCAGACAAGTGAGAAAGGTCAAGAGACTGATTCTGTAGTAGGACTTTTAGCATCTTCATTGGTGTCAGCAAAGGAATGAACAGATCACTACTACTGAATCAGTATTTAAACTTGCAAATGTCCTCTTAGGATCTGTAAATAAGTGAAAGATTAAAAATAATGAATTGATAATAGCCAGAAAGGACAGAGAACCCTGCAAGTCTCAAGAACAAACAATCCAAATTAATTAAAGCCGAAAAAAAGTACTAGGTTTGCCTTCTGCCATCACAATTGCCAAGAAAGAGTAGAGAAATATCCATAAAATTTGAATAAAAGTTGATTCCTCCAAGTTCCTATTTACCCAAATTATCTTCTTATGTAAAGAAATGAAGACATGAGGCTGTAAGATTATCACAGTACTGGCACAGGACTATGTTCAGTCCCCAACACTGCAGAAAAAAGGGATATTCTCATGTCTGAATAACATATGTGCTTCATTTCTTGAAAATAAATTTCGTTGAGACATTCACATGCTTAAGAAATTTACAAGGACAGGGAGTTCAAGATGGCTGAATAGTCCTCAGCTCTCACCTACTACTCCACAAAGACAAATAAAAAATAACAGATGGACATGGGTATCATAAGTGGAAGACTGTGGGAGAATACTGGAAGCAAGTTAGAGATGGGCCGGAACAATGCAGCCTTGAGAGAGAACT